TCTTGATATAAGTCTTCAAGGATAATCTATGTGACAAATGTCGTGTGTATATATTAAGTGTGTATCAAGGGTCCACTCTTGACTTATGTAAATCCATACATCTGCGGCTCACACAGACATTCATTTTCAAGAACAGACCATCGTATTATATACTTACGTGTCAATTTTCAACAAAGCTAGGTCCCATAGTTAATTTTAAATTCACAATCACGATCCACAATGTATTTATCATTTTTAGATTTATGAACACGACGATTGTTTACCATCGTATGTCAGTTCAATTCCACCGGTTGCTACTCGATTGCTAGTGGTGCTGTTTCGGTCGCAAAAACTGCATTCAATGACAGTTGGGCAACCGCTTGCGAATACGAATTTTTCGGTCGGTCAACAATCGGTCGCAAATCGGTTGGTGGTCGGTTGCTCACCAATCAGAGTTGGAAATTTTTACGTAATAAGCCTGCGGATTTTTTGGTGGGTTAAGGCATTTTCAGAGGGGAGACAGTCGATTAAAGATGAACCACAAAGCGGAGGCCTTGATCTTCGGAAACCGATAAAAATATCGGGGATCTTATGCGTTTAGATCATCGCTTGACAGAATGATCAGGAAAAAGTTAACTTTGACTCACACCACCGTTCATGTAAGTTCAAACATCTAGAACAACTGTGACTTTTTCTCTTCCCAAAATTAAAGCATCACCTCGTTTTGGGACAGTCTAAAACATTCAAATGGCTGTTACCGACCAGCTGAAGGCTATTCCGGTATCGGAGCTCCAGTACCCCTAGAAAAACCTCCTCCAGCTCTGCATGGCAGGGTGAAAATATAAAATTGTAATTATATTTGAATAAGAAAATTAAAAAAGAATCAGTCTCATTAGTTTACAGACCTCGTAAACTCTGAAATCCATATTTTATTCAAGATAGATGTCGCTCAGTGACATGAAAAAATGCATGAATCCCGTAGTTGGATGATACCACTCTCTAGCGTTTCCGCTCGCGTTTCGGGATTTTATTTAAAAAGCAAAAGTGTACTTGATAATGGTCCACCCTGTACTTTCTGCTCTATATATATATATATATATATATATATAATATATATCTTCATTGTATGTTAAATACCCTGTATTGTATAGTTTTTGTTAGATATGACTGATTTTGAGTATTTCGTTCCAGATTCCACCCAAAGGTCCACGGTGTAATGAACAATTGTGATCATACGCTCCAATGCCGGCGATGATCCAAAAGAGTAGCGCCATGCCCACAACTGCTGGTGGTCACCACCACCAAGATGGGTACTTCTACTACGGTTCTTTTTCGGTAATGTCCAGCGGACAAGTGTCACCAAGTGATACCTTAGACTCGGGCACCTGCAGCGATCTCGATGCTGGAGGTGGCGGACATACTCCGCCAAAGAATAAGACCACCGTCACTAAGAATGGAGTTTCAGTTACGTTTATTGGTAAGTTATTATAAATGTGTCCTGATAGGTAGACCCAATATACAAAGATATTGAGGCTGCAGCCACAATGTACAAGAAATTCAGGCCAGAAATTTTGTTCTTTGTTCATGACTAGCTTTCGAAAATATTTGTTTTCTTCATCGGGACGCAAACATTGAGATCCTCTTTCGAGACATGCGATCCAAAAACAGAGTACTACAGCATTGGGCAACATCACTAACGCACAGGTCACAAAAAAATATTGATCAACATGAATAGGTTAGGAAATGGGGAGATTTCGTATAAGAAAATCCTACAGTGTGGGTGACAGTAAATTTTCTTGGTGGGATCTTTAGATTATTGCTCCCTCATGATAAGCTCAAATTGGCGATATAATAGAGCTGGAGCGTTTGCGCTATTTTGATAAACGCCTTTGATCGAAAACCTCGGAAACCATCTGTCCTATTTAAAAAAAATAATGGAAACAAATCGGTAGGAAAGTAAATTATTAATCATTTTACTTCTATAAATATTTCTCGTATAGTTAACACATTATGAGAAATTAAAGGATAAATATACATGTAACGAAATTTCTGCTTATAATGGCTAAACTAACAATTAAGAGTATAAAATGCTACGTTGTTTTGTAGGCAATAAAATTAGCTACAAGGTCTTTTGCCTTTTCCCGAGACCATGATGGTTCTTGAAGTATAGTAACATTTCACGTGGTAACAATTTCATAATTATCAATCATAGTAGTATAATCATATTAGACGAAAATACCCCTGGTTTGCGAAATAATTGTAAAGTCTGTTTTTATTGTTGCAAGCTGTTCAAGGGGGTATACAAAACATGGATGCATAAAATGGATACACCAATTTTTGTGGGAAAACTTTTTGTTCGACAACAAAGAACAAAATGAGACCACACATGAAAAGATCCGACTAATAGCAAAAAAGTTATGGCCAAAAACCGAGGCAAACTGCACGTTTTGGCACTTTTTAATGCGACGATGGTTCCTCGCAGATATTTGAAATTCTTCAAATTCGTACGATTCGTAGATAATTTTAAATAACTGCAACAAAATTGGAGTAGATTGGTCAAGTAGTTATTGAGATTTTCTAATTGTTTATCCCAAAACACGTGTATTCCGGCCAGCACTACTGGTTTATTGAGTAATATACAGGGCTACTTCAAAGGGCATTTTATAGCAAAATATACTAGTTGACCTTTTCTATATGAATCGCAAACCATTCCGTAAGATAAATGTTATTCTTATGCAAAACAGGATAGGTTACGTTTTTTCTTCTAAACAAATTCAAACATTCCTTATTTGTGAGTAATTCGCAACAACAGATGATAGATACATCCGCTTTCTTTTAAAATGCATATAGTAACGTATATTTTTCGAATATCGTAGCGCATTTGTTCAATTACTCTTTGAACGAAGCCTGTATATTGCTCAATAAACTAGTAGTGATAGCCGGAAAACAGCAGTTAGAAATTCTCAAAAACTACTTGACCAATCTACTCCAATATTGTTGTGGTTATTTAGAAGTATGTAGGTATCCTATGGAGTTGAAGAGTTGCAAGTGGCTGCGTGAAATTGTCGTCGCATTAGCAACAAGAGCCATAACCTGCATTTTGGTTCGGTTTTCGGCCATGACTTTTTAACTATTACGTGTGGTCTCATTCTGTTTGTCTTATAAATACCAAAAATCTTATTTGAAGAGTCTTTCGGTTCCTGACAACACACGATTGAATCCCAAAAAACACGTTTTCCCATTCTTTGTTGTCGAATAAAGTTTTCTCACAAAAATTGGTGTACCCATTTTATGCGTCCATGTTTTGTATATCCCCCTTGCATCCATAAAACCAGCCTTTACAATTATTTTGGGAAAATTTACTAATATGATTACACTAAATGAATGATGACTATAACCAGTGCAATTTGATTTCTGCTTTGAGCTCTTCTTAAAAATGTCTGCGTATCTAGCCTAGTCGGTTCTGATATTTTTTGCCTCCGGAGTCTCGTTCCCCCCCCCCTCTCCTTGCTCTAATCGACATCTTTATATAGCATTTTTAAAATTCTTCTGAAAAGCCACATTTCAGAAGATTATAGCCTCCCCATGAAATGTATACCCCTAGGAAATGAAAAACTACTGATCCGAGGTACAGTTTCTATTTCGATGTTTGACGTCTCCAGGTTGGTCCACGCGATATCGCAATAGGAACTGCTTGCATGGTATTCCATTAAGAACCATGTGAACAATTTTCGTCACATCTCGCGTGGAACGCAACAAAAAAAGAAGCAACCGTAGGGCAAATGATACATTTGGAGATCGCAGCGTTATCAGATGGGTGGAAACTGGAAACTGGAAAAAACTAAAAGTATAGAGTCAAATCAAAATGATCATCTTCGATGTAATTACAAAGACTTTTTGGTCATTTGTAACTTTATAGAATGTTAATGACTGTGCCCAATTGTGAAGAATAAATCAAGTCTATAAAATTCCTTTCTAGCTTATTATTACTTATTGCACAATAATATTCCTACGTATGTCCTCATGAAAATGCCAAAAAAATGTATCAAAATGCCTGCAGCAGTAACATTAGTAGTTTGATACACAATTACGCCTCGTTATGTGCCATTAAAGCATTAACATTTCATCAGCTCCATTGAGATATCCTTGTACAAATCACTACACCTTTTCATTTCTACTTATTATCCGGCAGAAGGATAACATGCAAACTTAATATTCAATTCAGCAAACGCTTTTTCCCCTAGGCTATGATTCCACTTGTTTCAAAATTGCACGTGATCGAGATAATACACGTTTATATCCACGCTTATTTAGAAAAATAACTGGACATGCCAGTAACTGCGCCGTAACATTCCCTTAAAGATCGCAACCTTGATGTCTGAGTTTAAATTCTAATAGTCTAGGTAACAACATCAGCATTTAAAGGCAACAGCATTTCAACCAAAAACCACTGAATAAACACTATTTCTTCAAGTTGAGAAGAAAAGCGTCACCCTTAATCCAAGCTGTCTGAAAAAAGATAGATTTTGATTATTGCTCTAGCAGTCCATGTCTGTCGTTGCTAGTTTTTGTTCAGGATAGAAAGTTCTAAAGCATTTCCCTATAAGCAAGACTTAAATGATGTGGGCATCCTAACCACAAACAGTGGATATAAATCGGAGACTGAGGACATATGTCTATATATGCCTAATAGAGTAGGCGTTCCGTACAAAACAAGTGGCGTGTGTCTTTTTTGCTCTTCAAAACGTTCCCACGTAGAGATTACTTTTCTTACAACGCTTTTAACAGCTAGCAACTACACTTCAAACTGGTTGACTAGGCATGTAATCCTAACCTAGTTTTGTTTTATGATCCATGATGACATTACAGGATGAATACCTAATATTGTAAGTTCTCCACTATAAAGCTTGCCAGCCGTTCTTTGCGTTTGCCGTCCAAAAAGTTCTTTGCGTTATATAATATATGTATATATATGCTATTTTAAGTATGACCTTTTTCATTTAATCTGAGATACCTTGTAGATAATACCAAAACATGAAGAGACGAAATTTGAAATATATTGTGGCGTTACTTTTCAGCAACATTTTTTTTTTCAGCATACTCCTGTCAGTCCTACTACTACCATAAAAGAAATATGGTGTTTTCCATTCGTTTTCCGTTTTTCATCGTTTCACTTTATCCCAATTAGTAAACAATACGTACCGTATATTTTGGGTTTCTTATAATGATGAGAAAGTTATGACTTGTATCAAATATAGCAATTATTTGTGTGACTGCTCATGCTTTTATTACAAGATTAGTTAACTGTTCAGTAGGTTGGAAAAAAAGATCTGAACCGTACTCAGGATAGGTTTTGGGATCATAGTGATGATTCTCTTAGTCCTACGATAGTGGTGTATTAAGTTTCCGGCCTTTGAATAATTCTTCTAAAACCACCATCTGTTAGTTCAAGGATACTTTAATCATCGTTTAAAAGACTGATAATGAATTAGACGATATTTAACCTCCAAAAACTGAACGTTTAAGTTAAACACAGTTTACAAAATTTTTAACGGTGTTTAACTACTTATGCAACAAAAATTATCACATTAAACTAGCTTTTCATCTAAACTAAGGTTAAATAGTATTGATGCAATAGGCCATAAGTTTTTATTCTTGTTTTATTGTCTGTTTTTTAACAAAATTTTGAAAACAAAAGGACATTATTTATTTTGTGTTTTACGAGACAAATGTAGTACTGTTTCAGTTTTCTTTGCCTAAGTCTTAATAATATCTGATAAAGACTGATTATTACATATTACATACAGTTTGTTTTATTTTTCTGTAATAAAATCCTATTATTATTAATATTAATTGATAAAGACTAAGTTTGTTTTTTCTTGGAGATACCTCCCAACCCTTCATATCATACTCCTCAGTTGGAAGTTTCGATTTCATTTAATGTCGAAACTATAAAATTGGACCGAAATTTCGGTTTTGGTTTCGACTGCGGCTGAAATACTAGTTTCGATCGGAAACATAGATATTTCTCAACTTCTAGGTATTCACGAGAAGACGTGTCGATATCTAATCTAAGTGCTGAGGGAAGGAAACACCATTCCCCTAGAGTTGGAAGTCCCTTCTAGACTAGCTACCCAGAAAAGACTGTCAGAATGTTCAATCAATTTTCTAACATTAGCAATGTTGGTTTTTGTATTGCTGTTCGAGGTTGGTAAAAAATGCTACAGGTTGCCTCCACTACTAAATTATCACTGTTTCAAGCAATATTTTCTCTGCACTTTCGTTCATTTGATGCCTGTACTATAATACATATCTGCATAGCTAACGATCTGTTACTTATAATAATTTCAAATTAACGACTTATCGCAAAGTGAGTGTAATCCTCCACTTTAAGACCGTTAAGGACCGCATTCTTAATTAGTTATCCGTTTTTTAATAAGAAAAGTATCCATTGACAACAACTAGCATGAAAGACTACACTGATCTGTCTTAGATAACATAACGCGTAAATTTTCAATCATAACCCCAGCAACTGTGATGTGATTTGAAATGAGCAATTCTATTTAAACATTTATTATTTGTTCTCTAATAAAGTTGTTTGGTGAACGAGTCATCCTCTTATACTCAAACGTATGGTATCAATAATAAAACATAACAGAGAACAAATAGTAGATATAGCTATACAATAACTAGAAAGCGCGAATGCAAATAAACTTCTCCCCTAATTCTTTGCGGTTCACTGGTCTGCTGCAATCCATACTTAGTCAATGTACTACGATCCTGATGGTATTCTGGCATTACCACGATAGTCTCGTTAGTAGATAGGCACCATTGAGACCAGTATTGCCATTTATACTACATATGTTGACCACAAAACACTTGTGGTAACATGTTGCATCATATTTGAAGGGTCGTTTCATATTTACTAGTACCAGTTCAGTATATAATAATAAAAAGATAAATCTAGCCCAAAGGATTAATTCATCGGAGACTGGTATCGCCAGCAACTGCAGTTGTCATTAAAACCCGGCTAATAAGGTTGACCTAGGTAGGATAAATAGGAGAGAAGCTGTTTATACTAGAGTGAAAATATTTTACCTGGATTTTTGACCATAGGAGCAATGACGTAATCAATGCGATCTTAGTCTAAATTATTTTGATGAAAGTTCGCAATCTAGGCAGTTAAAACTCCCTCTGGTATGCTGTCTGTCCACTTGTTAGTGTGGGAAAAACATAGTTTAGGTATGAATTTTCTCCACATAGTAGTTGGTTCCACCGTTAATGACTGAAGACCGGCGATATTTACCTTGACCACGACAATCACCTTACGCTCAACGCATTCTTCGTGAAAGTCACCTGACGATTTTATTATTGCAGTGTACTGTAACATTAGCCTCAATTTCCTCAGTATGTGTTCATCTTTAATAGTACGACAATGTTTTTCTATCAACTGTATTCTTGTCTGAATGTATTGATGTTACATGTTTTGAACACTTCCACTTCTTATCTACGAGCCCCTTCCCACTTCAGTTGGCCCACTTCAAGATTTGTACCAAAATATGCCTTTATAAACTAAACATGACGAAACTATTTACTTCTAAAACAATTTATTTTCTCAAAAACATTTTAGATACACTCTAGTCATAAAAAATACATATTTGAAATCACTTAGACCTATAACTAATAGAACATCTGAACAAGTAAACAATGTGCGAATAAATGCGTGAAGTTAACAAAGCATCAATTGAAAGATTACCATTGGGTAACATCACCTTTATTTTTTATTACGGCTGAAATTCTTTTGGGCATAGTTTAACCAAATTTTGGTAAAAATTTGGTGTAAAACAATCCCATATTTCCTGAAGGTTTTGTCTCAGTTCGGTGATTGTACGAGCAGGTTGTTGTCGTAGAACCTTTTTCATCTCGTGCCACAAAGTTTCAATAGGTGACAGATCTGGACTGCTAGAAACCCATTTCAAAAGTGGTACCAGCGCCACCTTCAACTAACTTAGTTGAAGGTGGCGCTGGTGGTACATTATTTTCTTCCATCCATTTTATAGCCTTTTTTGAGGTATGGCACGCTGCACCATCTTGCTGAAACACAAAATCTTGGCCGGATGTCAAACATTCTTCCATCACTGGTAAAAACGATTCTTCTAAAATTGCCAAATATTTGTTTATATCCACATTTCCATGAATAAAATGAAGTTTTCCTACTCCTTTTGATGACGTACTGCCCCAGACCATAATGGATGCTGGAAATTTCAGTTTTCTCTTCAGACAGTCAACATGGAATGCTTCATTTTTTGCGAATAACTCTACTGCGACTGTCACCATCACAAACTTCGAATCGGGCCTCATCACTCCATTGTATTGCACACCATTGTTGAGGTATCCATTGTCTATGTTCTTCAGCACATCTAAGCCAATTTTTCTTTCGCAGTGGAGTTAATAGTGGCTTTTCTTTAGCCTATAAACAAGTTGTGCAACTTTAGGGTTTTTACTTCACTTTTTTATAAGAAAACTTACCTTGCAAGTGCTAAATCCCAGTTTGTGGGCCTCGAAAGTCTCCTTCCAACAGCGTCACTCCACAGAGCACTTAATTGTAAATAATTGGCATGCCTGTTTTTCACGATTATTCTTCTTAATGCTCTTCGATCGGCATTTGTGATATTACTTTGACACTGTACCGCGATAAGTCTAACAAAGTTGCAATTTCTGAGTTTGATTTCCCAGAATTAAAAAATTTAATTATCAGTAACCGAATTTTCTCACTAATAACCTTTCCTCTACCCATTTTGAAAACCTTAACTACCCAAGACTATTTTAAACGTATTCTGACAGGTGTGATTAATAAAAACAATTGTCATGGCTTTTATTTTTCACAGCCACCTATGCGTTGTAAACTTATTTTGCATTGAAATGAAAATAGGTTGATATGCTATAATTGCAACACGTGTTATTTTTATGCTGCAAATTTGATTAGGGAGTGATAAAGTTGGTGTTTCCTACTATATATTATCAAAATATTCATTGTTAATATTTTAAACCTATACCACCCTGCTACATTTTAATTATTTGTGTTCGATAAGAAAAAAACTAAGATTTCAATAGTTTGGCCGACTGACGTGGGAAGGGGCTCGTATGATGCTAAGTTTTTTGAAATGTTAGTATTTCTCTGTGTAATCATTTGCTAAACTCTGACACTCCTGCGCGTTGTGAAGATGAATAAGTCACGCGTCATAAAAATGAATGAAACAAATAAATGCATGATTCGAATTAAAGACTCAAGAACACAAGAAATTTCTGAACGACACTAGGAATATTAAACAGGAACCAACCCAACGAATAGTTACAAGAATGATCTGGAAAATACCTGTATCAAAGACCTTGCCTGTATGATATCACGTATGACGGAAACTTCAAGCCTCAACTTCATGTCGAATATGGTTTTGAAGCAGTGGATTACAACCTCTGTAAAATTTCATTTGGTAGCCAAAAAGTGAAGTGCAAATGTTTAGATTGCGTTGCGGTGTTTTATATGTGTGTATCAATTACTCAAAAGTACAACAAGACCGTTCAGCTACCAGCTGTCATGAAGAAGTACCACACAGTAGTAATCTTCCCCTTAAACATGTTTGATATCTGGGTAGCCAGACGTGACAGACTAACAGACCGACGAGACTTTTAACTAAGAGCAAAGGTCCACCGGACCGCTCTGACGAATAATGACGAATAGTAGTAGTAGTAATCTTGAATCTTCTGCAAAAAATCTATAGAAAGAAGGATGGAGGTGAAAAACAATTCGAACACAAGTCAGCTTCATAGTTGTGGCTCCTATCTGAAGACCTCCATTTAGATTCCTACGTATGCATACGTACAGATCAGTTAATTACCATGCCTAGTATAATCCGTCTCATTACTGGGTAAACAGCAGCCCATTTACACTCACTCACATACTTGGCAAAACTGTCAGCAGTGAGTCTTTCGCCGAGCGTCAATTCTGTCTCTAGTAATTAATCTATCTACTACATACGACTAGATGATTAGAATTATTCTCCTTGTCACCGCAATACACGCAGTTTGAGTAATCTCTCTTTTCTACTCCCTTCAGGTAGCTGTCAAAACAGCCTGTGAGGAACTGTGCAGTAAAGCAGTCCATCTGCACAGCTCCCTTGCCAATTCAGGTTCTGTTATCTGGAATCAACCTCCGAGTCCACCCTCC